GCTTTTCTTTGTAAAAACTTCAATTAAATTTCAATAAAGTTAAAAGCATGGCCTTACTGTTAATATTTAAAAAAAAAAATTTTAATCTTATTGACTATTTTCACTTTAGATATATATACTTCAGTTTTTTGTAAGACATTTTCTTGTTTTATAATTGGAATCAGTCTAAATAAAAGTGTTAAATTGTTGTTATATAAGATATTAATAATATATTTTTGACAAGTTTTTTTATTCAAGTTAGTAAATTTAACAAATATGTACTTAATTTGCATTCTTTTTTCAAACTTTGTAAACAATTTTCAAATTTATTAGATTAACAAAATGATCTTTTCTTAGATAGGCTCAGAATCTTTAATATTTAATTAATAGTTCTGGTTAGCTTCTTAAACTATTCACTTGAGAATCTTTGTACTTAATCAATTTAAAAATATTGTTTTACAATTAGATTTCATCAAATATAAATTAGTAAATTATATTTAATTTTATTAATTATAATAATTATCTGAAAAAATTTCTTGCAATTTCATGCAATGATTTTTTAGTAGTGTATTTGTAAGTAGAAGGTGTAAGAGTTTTTAAAGCTTTATTAATTTTTTCTAAAATAATATCTAATTCTTGATGTTAATTATAAAGTTTTAAACAAAAAATAGTATAATTTCTTTTTATAATATTTCTTACATGAAGATCAAGTTTCATTAGTTGTATTTCATCTGATGCTTTTATTTGATAGTATATAAGATAGTGACATGCTGATCATATTGTTAAAAAAACTCTTCCTGCAGCTCTTTTTAGCAACAGATCATTTCTTCTTATCACTAATCTATAATTAATAATAGCTTGTAAATAATAAAAGATCTATAAAATGAAATTAATAAAAACTAATAATTAGTAATAAAATAATTACTCAAAATTTATATTTTAAATACTATTCAAGACTATTATAGCATGTTCATAAAATTACTAATAATCAAAATATAAAATAAGATTTAATTTTTTTTAATAAAATTCTATTTGTTCAAATTTTATTTAATATATAGAATCTTCTTGTTCTTTTACTTAGACTAAATATCATTCTATTAATAAATTAGAACTATTTATAATATATGGCCAAACTAACTCTATAGTTATAGTTTAATAATAAATATTACATACTGAATCTCAAGCTTTATGATAGTTATGATATTTCTTAAAATAGACAAACTAATTTTTGTTTTATATTCTTAATATTTCACAACCTGTTTAAGATCTATATCACTTTTTAAATGAATAGAAAAGTTATAAAATAAATATTAAAAATATCAGAAATTGCTATAATATAATATTGGTATAAAATTTTAATTAGTTAGAAATATTAATCTTAATATAATATTTTTTTTTTTTTTTAAATATTAAGGTAAGTACTTGTGATCCAAGATTTTATTGATAGTATATTTGGCTAATAGTTACATTAAATTACAAATAACAATCATGGAAAGATTGTACAACTAGCTACTTATACAACTTTAGTCATTGTTTAATTTAAGTAGTCTACTCAAAAGTTCTATACTAGTTAACATATCTAAAACCTGCCTGTAGGTTTCTTATTTTACTATTCTAGTTTTTGTATCCATCTACTTACCTCTGTCTACTAATGATCCTAACCAATATCCATAAAAATATATTATAACAACTAAGTCTTTAAAGCAATTTACTAATATGAAAAACCTTTGACCTTGTACTAAACCTTTCAGAATCTTCTGTATCCTATTCTTACAGCTAACCTGTTATTGCTATAACTGAAACCAACATTGATGGTTAGGGTGTACCATTAAACTGTTATGCCCTTATAGAATTTATCTCAACCTCAATACTAATTTCACAACATATTCTGACTACTTTGGTATTCAATTCAAGTTTTACCAAGCTCTTAAACCAAATTGTCTGAAAAGACAAGTTGTAATCATACATCTCTGATTTATATATTTGCTGATATATAATCTTTTCCTTCAGAATGGATCCTGATAGCCTGGTTGATTCTATTCAGCCCCTTCTCAAAAACTGACTCTTTGTCTAGTTTCACAAATTCTAATTCTGTTTCATAGGTCTAGTCTTTACAGTAGCACTGTTGAAGGTTTGGGTTAGCTTTCTATTCGAGTCTTCTAAGTAGGCTTCTATTTTTCTATCTGGTTTCTGTGATTTATATAACCTAAGGACTTATCTTAGGTTCATACTGCCTAGTACTAGTTTGTGTTTCTTCGACAACATTGCATAAATGCCTAGAACTTCTAGTCATGCTGGTATAACATGGGTTACAAGTGTCTTATCCTAACCTATTACAGAAGACAGTTAACTATAATACAGAAAGAATTACAAATTTTTACTGTTACTGGAATTTGAACTCTAGACCTGCCACTTAGAGGTTGACAACCTATCTACTTCACTATGTCACTACACTCCTAATGCAATATAATCTTACCAATTAAGTTTTACATATGTCTGAAGCATATTTATCTCTTTATATAATTGCCTAAGAACAAGAACTAGTCAAAGATATTTATGTTTTATCTTACTTATATAGTTATATAAAATACTATTACATGTAACAGCTACTCATTTGTGTATTTTATTCTTAATGCCAGAAATTTTTTTCTATATAAAGAAGAATTTTTTAACATTAACAATTGAGTTAGGGTTAATATCAAGAGGATCAGATATAAAAATTTCTGAAATCTTAACATCACTATTGGGTAATAATTTTTGAGTAATACTTATTTTTGGTAGAATAGATAAACTTAACTTCGCTTTTCTTTAATTCTAAAGCTTGATTTTAATAATTCAACTAGCTTAGATAGCCAAGCAAAACATTTTGGACAAATCTGCTTTATATTATCAATATTTTATTCATTACATGTAAGGCATTACTTGTCACAATAATTATTCGATTTTATACTAACAATAACAGAATCAATACTATTAGTCTTAGATAATTTTTCTTCTAATAACATATTTAAAATTTTAAAAATATAATTATATAGTTCTTCATCTATCTTTTTTTACATTTCTGATATAATTTCGAAAAGGTTTTCATATAATAACTTATAGAAACTAGATAACCAAGATGTGTTAGTATATTAAATATAATTTTGAGATTCCATATTAAAATCAACAAAACTTGTAATAATATTATATGTTACTATATTAGATCCATAATCAAAATAGTTTCTCTGCTCTTTTTGTTTATTATCAAATATCATGAATAAAAATCCATTGGGTAATTCTTCTTCTCCTTTGAATAATCTGTCTAAACAAACTTAAAAATATAAATAACTTTCTAAACAGGTGATATGACTGTTAATGTCAATGATAGTCTTTGATCTTGTGATAAAATACTTTATAACTAATATTACAAGATTTATTTCTGACACATATTTGCCATGTTTGAACCCATATATTAAGTTGACAGCCATTGCTCTTTTATATTTTGTTTTGTGTTCAGAGAATCTGAATAATCAACATTATTATGTGTTAATGTTTTAATAAACTTTACAATAACTTGGTTACAATTACTTAACCATAATTGTGGTTCATAATTTAAGAATCTATTTAAAGAAACCCTATCATTATCTCTAATCAAAGAATCAACATCTTCATTTAAAGAGCCTCATTCACATTTAGCAATTTCAATAATTTCTTTTACACACTTACTCTGATTACTATAACAAAAATTCCATTGTTCGACATGATTATTATTTTCTTCACATTTTTCTTAATATAACTGTCTCATTCGAATTATTTCTTCATAATAATTATTTAATCGCTTTTTCAACTCTAAAATCTCTGCTTTTGGTCTTCTATTTGTCATTGCAATTCTGAAACCTTGTTAGCAAGATATGCTGTGTATATAATATTTTCTTCATTTCCTACTCGAATCTTATCTAACAATATTCCTACTCTTTCAAACTCAGCTGACAAATGTGATTCATCATTGGTAACTATTTCTTCAAAGGTAGAACTAGCTATTTTTTCCAACTCGACAGTTGAATGTAACGCATTACTGATTATCTCTCTAATGGTAGAATCGGAATCGATTCAAGACCTTTTGCTTTCATGATCAAAATTAGAACTACCTAAAAGTTGTTGATAAAAATTATTAGTTGATATAACTTGATTATAATGCCTTTCGCAAATGGAGTAAGAATCTAAAAAAAGATGAAGATTAGGAGGCTCTCATATAAAGTTATGGTATAGCATAAGCTGCTTAGCTACCTCCTGAGTATTGGCACGCCACCAGTACTGCAATTCCTTTGTCTCACAGGATTTTAACCCATGGTCAGAGTATTTATTGACTAATTCAGCAAATATGCAAGGAAGCCCTTTGGCCCTTGGTCTTGGTTGAGTTGAAGAGTGCGACATTCTCTAATTCTAACATGCTTATACTTACAAAAAAAAGCTAATGTCAATTTCAATGTGCAAATTTTCTAAATTTCGGCTCTTATATATTTTTTCAAAGATCGTAGATTATGAGTAGATGTTTATAGATTATGAAACTAGAGACTTTCTTTTCTTACCTCGTATAATTATAATCTGCAAGTATGTATCACGAAAAGTCACGGTTTTAGGTTGGAAAAGGCCGAGGAAATCGACAGGAGCCAATCAATTTTCAAAAAATTTCGCAGAATGCTCTAGAATCGATTTCCTAATTCGGTAATATAGTGGCAATAAGGGTTTTTAAGAGGAAACTGTAATTAATGGGATATACGGGAGTTAAGGGTTTTAAGTAATAAGGGACGTTAAAGGGATATAAGGGGGATAGTACGTTTAATAGGATTAATGCATTTATTACCTTAAAGAACGCATATGTGATATAACAATATATAATAAAGGCTTTGAGCCCTAAAACAATTTTCAGTTTTGCGCTCATCATATATTTCGCACATATAATAATTCTCTGTTTCATTGTATTATAAAACCTACGATCAAAAACACACCACTCTCCAAATCTAACCGCCTCTTATCGACTAAGCCGTTCGTAGGTTACACGACATATCCCATCAACAAGCGACGTTTCGCTTGTGTCACTAGGCATGTGATGTTCCACATCGCAATAAATTACGGTAAGGATGATCAACAAAAAAATTATATTAGTGGTAACTATTGTTATCATTATCACTGTGCGTACATTTTTTTAATGGATCAAGAATGTGTGACTAACTGTTTTGAACCTTGTTATTTTTTTAATAATGAGAATGTTCCATTACGCATCTGGAATAATAAAACGTGGCACATAATCGCTGAAGCGAAAGTTGATTTTCAAAGAGATGTATTTCAAAAAGTTATTGTATGTACCATTTAAATCTGTTTTCCTTTATTCATAAGTAAGTTATTATTATTAAATTTTTTTTTTTGACAAGTTATATATTTAAAATTCAAGTTTTTTTTATTAGGAACGCTGGACAAAAGAAGTTCATTTGATAATTCCGCCCATAGAGTATGCTGAAATAATTAATGACACTGGTTTAGAAAGTAGCGATACAGAGTGCAAAGAATTGCATGAAGAATCTTTAATCATCAAGCCTACAAGAACAATTCTTAGAAGGTTGATCCCAAAAAGAAAAGATAAAGATGATGAATTAGAAGAATTGATAGAATATTATGAATGCATTAGTGGTATATATAATTTATCTTTTTGGTTGCATGGTAATTTAAAGAGCGAATGTGTGCTTAATCGGCTTTTTTTATATTATTAGAAAGTCGTGTAGTTTACTCTCCGATTATAAAAAGTTCACAAGAGTCTGCAGAAGTCAATATTCCATTTTATTATCCGAAGGTAAAGAAAATAAAGATTTTAGGTTTTAGCGAATAATATTAATTATCAATTAGAATTCATTAAAGTACAAGTTTCGCAGTTTATTTATTTTATTTATTTGATGAATAGGTGTCATGCCTTAGCTATGTTTATTCAGAATATAAGAGAGTTTACAATACAGATACGGCAGATTACAATGGTATAGATGATAATGATTATCAATCTTGGATATATATAGAGATTGTTCCTTTAACATCATTTAGTAATATGCTTCATACCACTGACAAAATGGTTAAGTATTGTATTATAACACCTGATCAATTTTGATATCTCATGACTCATCGATTTACTTTTGCAGGAGATAGTAAACCGGTTTTCGTAACAAATAATAGATTTTAATGCGTTAACTAATAGTCTTACGGCGACAAATTCTATGCAACTCCAAACTATATTGAAGCTCAGTCTACTTTTAATTAATTGATTTTCGTGTATTACAATTGGCGCTAAAAATAGCTATAAGATGAAAGTTATATAGAATTTATTACTGAAAACAACTTAATACGCTAAGATCAATTTGTTTAATGCGGAACTCATTTTAACGTGTTACAGTTATTTTTTGTAAAATATATAAATAACAATTTTTCTTGCTTAAATGACAATGTTCGATTTTGGTTGATGAGTCGCGAGATGTCTTAAATTGTGCCCACATCATAATTTTCTCATTTACCTTATATACATATTCATATTAAATTTTATAATTTACTTAATTTACTTAGAAATATGCATACACGCAATTATTTAAAAAACTATTCAAATGGTGTCATAATACATCTATTGGCTACCAAAAACGGGTTCATCACGATTTACTGGTGCCAAAAGATTTATACATGCAAACGTATCAATATTTAAAAGGAAAATATGCTAAAGAATTAGTCAGGTAACTTATTTTTATGTAGTTATGTTATGATATATTTTGTACTAACCTGAAAGTTTATTTATACATAATAGAAATTGGACGGAGAAAACAGATCCAGCAAAATTTGTATTTGAAGACATTGCGATTGCGAGTTGGTTAATTTCATTATGGAAGTTAGAAAGAGAAGAAAATTTTCAAACAAGGTATGAAAATTTTTGACTATCAAAATGTTTTGACACTTAGTTTAGTGTTAATCTAATGTTCTGGTTAATATTATGCTTAGGTTACAGTCATTTGTTGATTTAGGATGTGGAAATGGTTTATTAACCTTTCTGCTTACTTCTGAGGGACATGAAGGAGTTGGTATTGATGTGAGAAAAAGAAAAATCTGGGATGTGTTTCAAAATAAAGGAGCTAAATTGATAGGTATAGAACAATGCTAAAGAATATTTTATATGTCATAAATTATTTAAAAAGTTGTAATTTATTTAGTTGAAACATTGCAGCCAAATGTTGTAACTTATCCGGATGTAGATTGGATAATTGGAAACCATGCTGATGAACTTGTTCCTTGGTAAATTTATAGATTATAATTTATAGTTTTTTTTAATATTTAAAATAATTTATTATTATATTTAGGATACCAATAATTGCTGCACGATCTTCTGATAATGCAAAGTATGTGTTTTTTTAATGTAATTATTTTATTTTGATGTTTTAATTTTAAAAGTATGCTAAATCAATTATTAGTTTTATGGTAATTCCGTGTTGTTTTTTTGCACTTTCTGGATCAAAGTATACTTTTGAAAAACAGATAATTTCTAGTGGAAAGTATAAAGCGTATCAAGAATATATTCATGAAATAATTTATAAATGTGGATTTATTGTTGAATATGATTGGTTACGAATACCTAGCACAAAAAATGTTGCTATGGTAGGTAGGAAGAGAAAAAGTAATAACCAAGGTAAAATGACTTTTTTAATACAATAAATTGTATAAATATTTCATGCTAATTAAGTAAAATTAAACACATAATAGATCAAATAGATGAATTATTGCAAAGTATTGGCTCTGGTATAATGCTAAGATTAGATTTATAATTATGAAAGTTTGTAAATTAATCAGCTGGAAAATTTTTGCCAATTTGGATTACTAGATATTAAATAGTTTCATATTTTGCAAATTAATTTCTAAATTTCATATAACATCTCACTTTAAGATGATAATCTATAAATATTTACTAATAAATCTAGTTGTGTATAATCCTTGATGTATAGACTGATACACTAAACCTATAACATAAGAAGTTGCGTTATTATATTTGTTTATTACTCTTTGCAATATCAACATAAGGTCAGACCTCTCTAAATGCACGCTCTTGGGACCAAACTTTAACAACGTGCACTTGGGGATAATAAGAAAAATTCATTTATAGGTCAAGCGTATATCAGGGCCAGTATTTGAGTGTGCATTTGGTGCTTATTGAGAGAGGTCTGACTGTATAAAATTTAAGATGGTATAAATTTAAAAACCGGAATATATTGGCCAAAATACCTGAAAGAATATATGTCACAAGAAAGAAAAATTCGGTTGATCTTTAGTATAGTGATTATTATATAATTATAATGTATATAAATTAACTATTTTGAATCAATTTAAGTAGATTTACAAATAGTTAGGGTTAGTGTTTATAATATAAATTGGCTCAAATTGATAGGTTTTATATATTACAATCTTGCAATAATTTATATATACCAACCTATACTAAAGGAGATTCGAAAATTCGAATACATCGCACTTGTAATGAACAGTTTAGAAATTTTTAAAAATCCACAATTAATTAAGTAATTTGATTGGCCAAATATGCCGCATCTAAGTAGCCGCCCTATATAAAATGACTACATTATATAGTATCTAAAATAGCTACTTTATATATTTAAAGTAGCTACTATATATTTAAAGTAACTACTTCATATATACAGTATTATATAAAGTAGTTACTATAGATAAGTCTTTAAAGCAGTTACTTTTGATAGGTCTTTAAAGTTATTATTTTATATATTTAAAGTAGATATCTGAAGTAGTCACTTTAGATATCTAAGTAGCTACTTTAAATGTCAAAAGCAGCCACTTTAGATACCATCTAAAGTAGCTACTTTAAATAGTGTAACCTCAAATATCTCAAGTAGCTCTTTAAATATCTAAAGTAACTACTCTAAATATATAAAGTCGCTACTTTAGATAGGGGTGGCTACTTTAGATGCAACAAAAACTTTATTAGATTGGTTACTTTTAGAATCGTGAAAATGCTATTTTTGTATTTATATCAAAATAAATATCAAAATTTGATATCGATCAGCTTATTGGTATTATTATTTGTATATGCCGCAATGCTTCTTATTCTTTACGATATTCAAATAATTAGCTAAAAGTTTTATCGATATTCGAAACTTTGTGAATTGGCAAATCGAATATAGGAATACCTAATCGGGATTCTCTATTCTAGGGATAGGTTCGGTAAGCTACGGTCAACCAGTGTCTAAAACATAAACAGATCAGCCCGAAAATACATAAGATCCCGTAAACATCGTAAACATGATATTTAATTGGCCCGATGTCACATGTCGGCTAGCCGGTTAGCTAAGCACTCTAGTCGACTAATATCTACTACGGTCAGCTAGCCGACTATAACCTAGCTGAACTCATCCCTACTCTATTCAATGAGCCTTTAGTATTAATTCTATCGTTACGATATCACTCACCGATATATTCATTCTCACTTGTTTAGTCTTCACTGAAATGATTTAAACTTTCCCTATTTATCAAAGTCATACAACTCAGCTTCTTTGTAAATTATTAAGCTGAATTGCAACACAATAGTTATACTACCCCTAATAAGTAATATAGTGAACTCTATATGGGGCCCCTCACAGTAAAAGGGGCTGTTGTTAGACAAAACTATTTTTGGCAAATGGCAAAAGTCAAAACTAAACTTGAGAAATTCGAAACTGGCGAAACCTTGGCAAAACGGTAAAACTCTGGTAAAATCTAGTACAGCTGAAACCTCTAAAGTCAAACACAACGAAGAAAGACTGAGCCATGTTGGTGAATCAAAATATTTTGCATGTGGCTATTAATTATATCATGTGCTTATAATATTCAAAAGCAATAAACAACGTACAATGAAACTTCCATAAGTGCACCCCTATAAGTGCACACCTTCTCCAAATGCACGCTTAAATTTAGGCCAAAATACAGTAAAACTTCATAAGTGCACGTTCTTGGGACCGAACTTTAACGACGTGTACTTAGAGAATCATAAGAAAAAGCGCATTTATGGAAGTCATGTATATATTTGGCCTGAATTTAAGCATGTATTTAGAGAGGATGTGGTGCACTTATGGAGATTTCACTGTATTATTAATTTGTATAGTTCATATTTTTATAATTACTTTTTATATAAGTATAATTCTTTTTAAATATATATATATAAATTATATACAATAAAAGGGTTTAATTTTCTTTAATTATATTTATATTCTTGTTTCTTCACTAGTTTTCTTACCATTTACCAATTTCATTACCTTTTTTCATTTCGTCACCTTTTAGCAGTTTTGCCAATTTTGCTGGTTTGTCATATCGGCATTTTAAATTTGATTTTAGCTAAGTCAAAACTAGTTTCGACTTTTGCCTATGGTAAAACCTCTAGGTTTTGCCTAACATCACTAGGATAAGCCAAAAAAATTTTTTAATTTTTGCTCCATGATTTAAATCACAATGATATAAATTACTGTACTGGTTTTTGATTTAAATCAATTTAAGCATGATTTAAACCATCTATAATTTAAATGTGCACTAAGTTAAATTATCTTGAAACCGTAATTGTTTCATATTTTGAAAAGAGTCTATACATTTGAAAATGTGGTACATGTGTAAATTTGCTGAATCATTACTCTGGGAATTTATTGAATATTTCAAGCACAATCAGTCGGTGGAAGTTGAACTAACCTGATAGGTACTTTCATTCCAACATCATTGGCATCTGCAGAAATATATTGATCTAATTTGTTTATCACAATAACTATCGTGCACGTTTGGGCAATATCCAGGTGAAAAAACTCGTAACATTTATTAGATTTTAATAATTCTTAAGTTTGTTGGTGAAGATATTTGGTCTGAATAATGCGAGGATTAAGTATAATTTTAAATTTTAAAAAAACATATCTATGTACATAACGATAATTGATAAGTCTAGGATCACATGTTAATAATTACGTAAGGACGATGAAGATCAAATGATTTAAATCATGCTTAACGTTTCCTCCTGAAATAAATCTATCTCAAAATCTAAAAACTTTATTTTATCATTATTGTCGCTTTAGCATACATTTTCGAAGATTATTAGTACGATTTAAAATATTATACTAATACTGCTAAATATTTATATCAATATAAATGTAGCGGGTGTGATATCTTGTAAATGTCCAAGTACAATTTCAAATCATTTTATAACTCCAATTAAGTTTATAAATTTTTGAAGCATTAATATGATTCCAAAAATTAGCTGTCTTGATCAGGAATCATAAATTTAACTTGAAAAGAATCTCGCAAACCTTTCGAATATATTTAAATGTTAAAATCGTATTCTGGAATATTGCATTGGAAGATATTAGTAAATATCATATTGTACTTTACCTGTAGTGTCAATAGACGTATAAGAATTTAAAATATTTTTGGTGTCAATAAGCCTACTTGTATATACAGCGTTTGGATGAGTTTGTGAAGTAAATGATAGAGTTGGAATGATTTTATCTGCTGTCAAAAATTCATTTCTGACTTTAATGTCATTTTCGTCCAGAAATCTTGGCTCCTTATCAAGAATTGACCACCAAGTATTTATATCATTATATATTTCGTTAGTAGTTGGTCTCTTTGTCGGATCAGCGTTCATGCATCGATCTGATAATTGAATATAACAATCTGGCATTCCAGATGCCAATTTTGGTCTCAATCCATTTGTGATTTTTTGCATGAGCTCTATATCATGCGATTCATCTTCAAATGGCGGTCTACCAGTTGACATCTCAGACATGATTACGCCAAAGCTGTATATATCTGATTCTTTTTTATATTTTTTATTAAACAATACTTCAGGCGCTACATATGGTAATACACCATATATTTCTCCGTATATAGTTGAACGGTCAATCTTCTTGGATAATCCTAAATCATAAATATGAGTTTCTATTTTTCCCACATTATCGCTGAAGAGAAGTATATTACCACTATGAATATCCCTATGAATATATCCCTCATTATGAATGTTTACTAAATCTGATATAATTGAACATAGAATTTCTAACTTTTGTTTCCAACATAGAGTAGTAAAATTCTTGGAAAGGTAGTGTCTGAGATCTCCCTCATTTGCATATCGATAAACAATCATATATTCTTTTGTATGCATGCTACAAGTTATTCCATATATCTCAACGTTAATTTTAATATTAGCTTCAACCTATTATTATAATAATATCGGATTAAATTTAACATTTGATGATTATGTAAACATGAAATATGTAAATAAATACCTCCGCCAAAAAAAATGTCGGCTTATCATGAGTTCCAAAAAATTCTTTAAGAGCAACGGTTTTATTCTTATAAGTTGCTGAATATACAGTGCTGAAGCCTCCTTTACCAATTTCTTTAATGTTTTTTAGATCATAAAAGGGAATCCATTGAAGTTGAGAACTTTTTATAAAATAATTAATTTCTCTATTCGGACCTTCTATTTCTTTATTCGGGCTTTTTTTATTCTCGTTTGCTAGAAAGCTTTAAAGTATATAATTATCAGCAAAAAAAATTTTATGCATTTATATATTATTCAAATATAAAAATCATGTTTACATAGTATTTACATACTTCATTTTATTTAATAAAGACATATTCAAGGACAACATTCTATTTCTAGTCTTTTTAGCATGCCTTAGATCAGATATGTTTAAAACAGCGAATAATGCTTCATCAAAAACACTTTTTAATCCTTTTTGCATAAGGGCTGAACACTCAACATACTTAATTGCTTCTAATTCTTGTGATAGTTTTTTGCCTTGCATCCAAGTTATGGGTCTTATCCCTTTTTGTGATAACTTTACAACTTCCGATGGATCATTCCGCAAATCTATTTTAGTACCAACAATCAGGTATGGAATTTCTGGGCAATGGTGGCGAATCTCAGGAATCCATTTACTTTTGACATTTTCAAAAGAAGCTGGTGAGACTACAGAAAAACAGACCAAAAATACATCTGTTCGAGGATACGAGAGAGAACGAAGGCGATTGAAATCTTCTTGACCTGCAGTATTAACCATTTACACGAAAAATAATTATATAATATATAAAATAGTTTGAATGTCTGAAAATATATTCACCACTTGTATCAACAAGACCTAAACTAATTGGTTTACCACCATACATGACAATAACTGAATAATCATCAAAAACCTATTTGAACATTCACATTCGATGAGATGATATTAAATTATTTTTTATAGCAATTTAAGGAAAAATCTTACTGTAGGCATATATTCACTAGGAAATTTTTTGGTTGTGTAAGATATCAAAAGCTCAGTCTACAGTATAAAAAGAAAATAGCAGAATAATTAAACCAATCATTATTAGAAATGTGTATATAGGATTTTTTATTTTTATTTTTACATACTTTACCAGCGCAATTATCACCAGTAATGACACACTTGACTGCTTGCATTATGCTAGGAAATAGTTTTTAAAAAAAACGTTGTAAGCCCAGAGCAATTAAAAAATTAAAATTTTCTAATAAAGTACGCCAACCGGCGTCCTGCGGCGTTCATGCCAAGGGTATAAAAAGAAAAAAATATTTAAAATTTAAAATTTTGATAATTTGACAACTCTGTTTCGTTATAGTAGACTCTTGACGCATTTAAGATTCGATATAATAAGAATTTTGAATTACAAAATCATTAATACATATATTATTTTCACTATAAACTATAGTGAAGTTTTTTTTCACATCCAAATGAAATTTATTATAATGGAAATGAGATGTACTGTTCAGAGGTGGGCAAAATGCGTATTTTTGAGCGCATCTGGAACATGTGTTTCAGGTTGGTGTACCAATAGATTCTCCGAAGTACTATTGCTATGTAAGAATTTTTACATGCTAATAATGTACGTTTAGACAAAATATATTTATCATCCAGGTGATTTTTTCATTTACGTCTTAATATATGTAAAGTTTTTCAAGTAAATTTTGGTTTGTCCAAATTTTTTTTTTTTTTTTTTTGCCTGTTCATTGTAGATTATTTGCGTTTTCTTTTGTAGATCATTTGCGTTTAAGGTTGGATACAGATCTTAATCGTGATCCGCCACATTTCCTTTTAGATTAAAACGCTATGGTGCTATATCGATATGTGCAAAATGTTCTATATCGATATGTGCTAAATGTGCTATATGCGCTTGCGCATGTCCCAAGATTTTAAATTCGGAAAATTTAGCTGCCCGATACGAAAGTATCGGAGCAGCTTTTTGTCTCGAATCGATCACGGGACTTTTGTAATTGTTTAAGTGATGCATTGTATTGATTTATTGTACGATTTTATTTGATGCATTGTTTGATCGTTATACGATTCGTATTATACATGTGACCGAAACCCCTGGATTTTCGGACCTAGTTTCGGACCTAGTTTCGGATTCGGATTTTATCAATTTTCGGTCCAAGACGATCATTTCCGAAACTAAATCTTTGGTCGAAAGGCTAATTGAAGTCGAATCTAATTGAAGCCTTTATACGTGAATTAAAATTCTAAACGAAGTGTTGTATAGTAGCCGAAATTCTTAAAAATGATAACAATAAATAAAATTAGATATTTTAAAATAAAATTTTGTAATAATTGTTTTAACCTTCTTGTTTTAACAAAAAATGGCATCGAATAAAAGAACTTTAGTTAAGAAAAAAAAAGGTGGATGTCTTCCCGGTGAAGTATGGAATTGGTTTGTAAAGGGAAATGAAGTATCTGCCAAAGGATACTATTCTGCAACGTGTTCTTTTTGTGATCATCAATGGACTACTGCTAAACCAAGTAAACTAAGAACACATCTTGCGTATGAATGTAAAAAAGTTAACTCAGATATTAGAATAAAAATGTTAGTATAATTAACAAACAATCATGATGATTCAGATAATGATACAGCCTCAGCATCAATTACAGCAAACAAAAAACAAAAATTAGAAAATAGTGTTAATATTGATAGTAAATTTGAAAATGTTCCTACTTCATTAAATAAGGAAGAACAAATTAATAGGATATTACTAAAAATGTTCTTATGTTGTAATTTACCTTTCGTTCTTGTTGAGCATCCTTTTTTTCAAGAATATACTAAGGCATTACATGGTACCTATGCTCTTCCAAGTCGTTAGATTTTATCGAATACTCTTTTAGACCAAGAACTTGCTCGAGTAAATATAAAAGTTAGATGAATTCTCAATAATGAAATTAATCTTACAATTGTATTCGACAGATGGATCAATCCTAAAGGTAGTGTTACTAGTTAGCTGTTTATTTTTTTAGTTAATAACTACTTTGCAAAAATCTTATATTTTGAAATAGTGATAAAATATTCTAGATTTAGTATAAATAATTAATAATATAGTTTATTAAAAAGAGGTCACTTAAAGCCTGACACCTTATAAAATTATATGATTTTTCTGATTTTTAATTAATTAATATTAGAGTTAATGTTAGGATTCAATAGAAGGTATTTACGTATAGTAAAATTACTGTTTTTTATATATTTCAGGTTTTTGTCTTTGCCATTTCGCTTTGTTTTGTTCAGACTAACTCTGGTTTTATATCGAGTACTTTCGTAAGATGCCAGGCTTTAAACAACCCTATTAAAAGATAATTTTTATGATAATCTAGAATATTTTGTGTTGTTATCATAAAAATATAAGATTTTAGCAAGGAATCAATTAATTTAGTATTGCTACGTCTACTATGTTTAAGACTTTATTAGGTCATTTTGCAAAACGATATGGCATATTATTTTTGTAATGATAATTGGGAAATTGTTAAATTGTCTATTACTTTATATTCTTGATTAGTTATGTTTATATTTTTTGAAATCAGTAAACTTCTTAAATTTATAAAGTCATCAATTTTTACATAACATTGTGATCTGCAAAGATTACATCATTTTGTCAATTAAATTAACTAATCGACTTCTATACTATCTATAGGTCAATCTATATA